CCCACCGCAGCCTCGACCTGCTGGGCTCCGGCAATCCTTCCGCCTCAGCCTTCCAAGTAGCCGGAATTACAGGCATGAGCTACCACGCCCGGTTGATTTTTTGATTTATTGTAGAGATGAGGTCTCGCTGCCCAGGCGGGTCTCGAACCCGCGGGCTCAGGCCATCCACTCACCTCAGCCTCCCAAAGGCGCGGGATTACAGGCTGAGCCACCGAGCCCGGCTTAGGCTGTGTTTTCATTACGACTGTAGACCAGAACGCGAAAAAGTGCCTTTCACTTCGTAAGTGCTGAATAAAAAAAAAACAAAAAACAAAAAAAAACGAAACCCCAAACGCACTCCCATTCGCTTCTCGAAAGAGCGCAGGAACGTCCTGCTCGGGCCTGACACCCCATTTCCCCTCTGCAGCGTCAGTCAGTGCGCCCTCTCTCTCAGAACTCGTCCACCCGCCTGCCAGTGATGGGGTCCCTCCCTGGAATGGGGACTGTCACCTCCAGCAGCTGGGCTATGAGGGCTGCGTAGAGCACCGACAGGGGTCCCAGGAGCTCCGCGTCCCGCGGGGAAGCAGTGATAGACGGGACAGTGGCAGGTACTGAATCCATTGTGTAGGGACAACCGAGCAGAGGCGACGCTTCCTGCGGAACGGCTCTGGACCCCCGGTCTTTCACGACTTTCTCGTTCGGAAAAGCCCCGGCTCAGGAGGCGGGTACAACCAGTGAACTTCGACTTCTCCGGCGGCGGGTACCTTCCGCCCCTACGCGTCACAGAAGACACGTCATCAGACACTGCCCCTGCGCCGACGTCAGGGCACGTGCCCACGGAGGCCGGGCCCGCGGGGGCGGGGCCAGAGCGGGAGGAACCAACCGTCGAGCAGGGCTGGGCGACGACAGACTAGTGCTGAACGGGAAAATCCACGTAAAAGGAGGGGGGCTCGTTTACCTGTCGCCGGAACTGCGAGAGAAGTGGCAACTTCAAGAGCCCCGGGAGGCCAGGGAGCTACCAGGAGGAGGATTATGAGCGGGGCTGGGAAAAGGACAGGCCTTTTCGTGCAGTCCGGAAGCTGGACCTTCCAGTCACAGCGTGCTGAGACACCCGGCACCTGCCCTAAATGTGCATCCAGGAGAAGAGCTGCCTTTCCCACTTCGCTCGGAAAAAACCCCGCTCAGATCGGGCCGCCGCCTCCTAGCCTTTTTTCCCCTGCCCACTCCAGGGCTCTTCTCACTCTCCCGCTTCCTGACCTCGAATAGCCCACGCTGTCTCACATTCTTGCTGTCACCCTATTAAAAGGCCTTATCCTAAGGAGTCATCGTGTCATTATCACCCCATGCCAACGAGTTCAATTCTGGATCCTGCTTTTATTGTTTTTTTTAATAAACAGTAGTCTTCCCATGTTGTTCAGGCTGAACTCGAACTCATGGGATCAAGCGATCTTCCCTAGTAGTTGGTACTACACGTGCGCGACCCATTAAGGTCACAGGGCTTGTGGAAAAAGGCAAGGATAAAGAAAGATATGGAGATCACATTCTAAAAGTTGAAGAAACTGAGGACATTTATTCTGCTGGGGAGGGGTAAGGGTATCTCGAGTTGAATATAAATTTAGTTCAGTGGAACAAAGCATGAATAAGCAGGAAAACCCTGAAAAATAAGAGCGATGAAGGGTGCAGTGAGAGAGGAAGGCAGGCTCTTTAATTACAGCCCGACCACCGGACAAAATAGAAAATCCAGAAATAGACCCAACTGCATTGGAAATCTGGGATACAAGACAGCTGGGGAAAAAACAGACTTTTTAATAAGTAGTATTGGCATATCTAAACAATCATATCGAAAATGACTGAATCTTTTCATTATTCTCAAGGATAAGTTCCAAGTGAATCAGAAACCTGAGTGTAAGAGGTGAAAATAAATCCACGTAAAGGGAGGCGGGGATAGTTTACCTGTCGCAGGAACTGCGAGATAAGTGGCAACTTAAAGAGCTCGGGGAGGCTCTTAGGAAAAATTGGGTGAATTTTTCTATGTATTATAGGTGGGAAAGATCTTCCTAATTATGCCTCAATATCAAGAAGCAACAAAGGAAAAGATCTGTAAAGTTAACTACTTAGAAGTCTTAAAACTTGCTTAGCCCCCCGCCTAATAGAAATTGCAAAATAAGCAAAGTCTGACAATGACAACCGGAGGGGAAAAAGACACTGGTAACATAATATATTTAATCCTTTGTAACATATTACAAAGGATTAAAATTTCTAAAATATAAAGAGCTTGACAAATAAGATAAAAATGGCCAGCAAAATTATTTTCTTGAATGGGCTGAATAAATAAATATATCTCAAGAAAAGAAATGAAAATAGCTTATAAGCATATGGAAACATGCTCTGCCTCTCCCATAATAAAAGAAATACAAATTATCCTACACTGAGATATCATTTCTCATTTATCTTGACAAGATCCAAACATTTGACAACATACTCTGTTGGTGAGAGAATGTTGGAAAAACAAGGACTATCATACATTGTTGATCATTGTACAAAACGATACAGCCATTATGAATGAGAATTTGGCAATGTCTAAATAACTTGTATACTGATCTACCAACCCAACAATCCCATTTCTAAAAATCTATCTTAAGATTACTGTGATGCAACAAGAAATGCTGAAAAGATAGATGTTTAAAACTGTAATATTTCAGCATTATTTAGAAAAGACTGGAAACAACCAAACTGTCCTTTAATAAAAGAGATGTTGAATGAACCAAAATATACTATTAAGGTATTAAAAAAAATAATTTTATATACTACTAGAGTATGCATTTAAAAACAGGATGGAGAAAAGTATTTATAGAACACTACTTTTACCTAAGAAAGTAAGGAAAGACAAATATTAAGCTTTGAAGTAAAACTGACATACGATAAATTACATTTATTTATTTACAAGGTCTTGCTATATTGCCTAGGCTGCTCTCAAACTTCTGGGCTTAAGCAATCCTCCCACCTTGACCTCTCCCAAGGTATTGGGATTACAGTTGTGAGGCACCATGCCAAAACAAATTACATATTTAAGGTGCACAATTTGATAAGTTTGGGCATATAAATATTCCTGTGAATTCATCATCATAATCAAGACAATGAACATATCCTTCACCTTCCGCCTCCCACCTCCTCATCCCCTTGCTAATCTCATCTCCTGTCACTTTTCACCCCTCTCTGCTCTCAAGCAGAACTTCTGTCATGATAGTTTGCATTTCCTAATGCTGAAAATGTATGTAGTAATATATGATATATTCTACCTTCTCTGGCTTCTCTCATTCAGCATAATTCGAGATTAATCCACATCGCTGCATGTATCTATAACATTGCATTTCTTTTTATTGCTCAGTAGTATTTCATTGTATGGGTATGCCACAATTTTTTTTATCTGTCACCTATTGTCACCTTTGCCTAACTCAAATTCAACAAAAATTTTTCTCTCATTTTTTTCCTAGAAGTTTTAAAAAATTTTTTCTCTCATTTTTTCCCTAAAGTTTAATTGTTTGGGGTTTTACATTTAGGCCTATAACCCATTTTCAGTTAAATTATATGATGTAAGGTATGAATCAATTTTTTGCATATAGATATCCAATAGTACCATTTGTTGAAAAGACTTTCCTTTCTCCACTTGTCTTTCCTACTTTGTCAGAAGCCCATTGCCATATATGTGTGGAACTATTTCTGGATTTTCTGTTCTGTTCCAATGGTCTATTTGTTTGCTGTCCTAATTATGGCAGCTTTATATTAAGTCTTAAAATTGGGTAATGGTAAGTCTTTTGCATTATCCATATGAATTATAAAATCAGTTTGTCATTTTCTACAAAAAAGAAATCCTGATTGGGGTTATGTTGATTCTAGTGACCAAACTGAGGAGAACTGACAGTTTAACGATATATTTAAACGTCTGCTGACTTCTGAATGAGATATATTTCTCCATATATTTAGGACTTAGTTGTTATCAGCAATATTTTATAGTTTTCAATGTATATGTCTTACACATTTTTTTGGCAGGTTTATCCTTAAGTACTTCTTTTTTTATACTATTGTACATGGAAATTTTAAATTTCAATTTCCTTTAGGATTTTTTCTTTTGTGCCTACTTTATGTAGGCAAATTACTATG